AGGCTCCCTTTGGGTCGCCCACGGCTTCCTCCTGCAAACAGAGCAGGAGCTGGGAAACCATTTCTGTAGCTGCCAATGGCCCGTAGAGTGATTTGGAGCAGCTAAGGTTGAGTTTAACAGGTATCGACTTGGACAGACACCTCCCTTTCCATAAAGAAATGAGTCACGCACCCTGCAGGGCCAAACCTGCTTCAGATGCCCTTACTTAAGAGGGATGAGGGCAAAATCCACCCTGCCGGAGCTGTGCTGGGTGTTGCTGCTTTCGGAGGAGCTGGCAAGGCTTTGCCGTGCGGCGCCCGAGATGCTGCCCGGGCCCTCTGGCGGGGTCTCTCCCCACGCCCCTGACCCCCCGTTCTCCCGCACGTTTTTTCACCAGTCAGACGTTCGCCTCCACGAATCACACGGTGCTCCCCGAAGCCCTGGAGCGCTGGCCGGTGGACCTGATGGAGAAGCTGCTCCCCAGGCACCTGCAGATCATCTACGAGATCAACCAGAGGCACCTGGATGTAAGAGCCCTGGCACTGCTCCGGGAGGGTGACGGGGACAGTGTGCGTTGCCCAAGGGTTAGCGTGATGGACAGACAGGACCATGGCTGGTCTGTGGCTGGATGGCGCGGGCAGCTATTTCGAGTGCCGCCCACCATATATTTGGGGTGGGACGCATCGCTCTGCGATTCCCCACTTGACCTGGAATGAGCCTGCCTGGGCTACCAGCCATCCTCATCCATGGGATGGCAGTGAAATGCCAGGGCTAGTCCCGCTGCTCCATGTTCCCGTCTTCCAGGCTCATGCGCCAGCGGACCGGGCCTTTGCTCGCCTCTGGAGCTGGGTCCAGCTCTCCGGCCCTGCCTCCGAGCTGGGATCAGGTGTCAGGCTATGCCCTGAGCGTCACTAGCAAACAGCTGGATCTTGACGCCAGCGGTGCTGACCGCCTGGCCTGTCGCACCCCATAGCACATCGCAGCCCTCTTCCCCAACGATGTCGAGCGGCTGCGGAGGATGTCCCTCATAGAGGAAGGAGGCACCAAGAGGATCAACATGGCCCATCTCTGCATCGTTGGCTCCCATGCTGTCAACGGCGTGGCCAAGATCCACTCCGAAATAGTCAAGACTCAAGTGTGAGTGGGGGACGGCGGGGCAGGAGGAGGCGATGGTGTGAGGTCCTCTGCACTGGGCCAGGGCTGGAGAACTGAGTGGTCAAGGAGCCGTGCTTTGAGCTGGAGACTGACCTCGTGTTTTCTCATCTTGGAGGAAAGCGTTTTAGTGGTTTCTGGCCCCATGAGCACATCAGCATAAAACAACCATCTTTTACGCTCTCAGGTTCAAGGACTTTGCTGAGCTGGAGCCGGAGAAGTTTCAGAACAAGACCAACGGCATCACCCCACGGCGCTGGCTGCTGCTCTGCAACCCGGGGCTGGCGGAGCTCATCGCAGAGGTACCAGCTCCAGGGTGGCATGGGAAGAGTGGAGTGGATTTGGGGGGGTCCACAGGCCACGTTTGCGGAGGAGCTGACTCTGAAAAGAGAGCCCATGCCTATGCTGCTGAGTTTTGATGTGAGCATGTAAGTCTCTTAAATGGTCAAACTCTGTTCACATCTCCTCTGAGTCCTTTCCTGCCACCTCCAAATCGCTGACATAGAAGATGCCGGCTGTGGTGGATCGGAGCAGTGCGCCGGGTGAGCGCGGCTGCTCACGTCTCCGCGCTCATCACCTGCTTGGTCTCTTCTTGCAGAAAATAGGGGAGGACTACGTGAAAGACCTGAGCCAGCTCACCAAGCTGCACAAGTTTGTGAACGACGACATCTTCATCCGGGAGGTGTCCAAAGTGAAGCAGGTAAGGGGCACGGGGCAGCGCAGGGCGGCACGAGCCTGGCCCTGCGGGTCCTGACGCACCGCCTCCCTCGCCAGGAGAACAAGGTGAAGTTCGCACTCTTCCTCGAGAAGGAGTACAAGGTGAAGATCAACCCTTCCTCCATGTTCGACGTGCACGTTAAGCGGATCCACGAGTACAAGCGGCAGCTGATGAACTGCCTGCACGTCATCACCATGTACAACCGTAAGCCGCCGCCGTATGCCCAGAGCGGATGGGCTGCCCCAGGGGTGCGCGAGCCCCCGTTGGAGCTGTAATTAAGGCAATGGGTGACACCTTCTGTGTTCCCCAGGCATCCGGAGGGACCCTGCAAAGCTCTTTGTGCCCAGGACGGTCATCATCGGGGGCAAAGTAAGTCGGATGGGGAGTTTAGGCACTTTGGAGGAAGCCTGTGGAGATGTCCTAAGGGAGATGTCCTCCTGGGGCTGTGTGCCTTAAGCTCACCTGGGAAACACTGGGGCCGTACTTGGTGGGTTCAACCCAAGCAGAACCCTATTGCCTGGAGCAGTGCAAACCCCAAAAGGCTTCGCGCTGGCAGGGAGATGCACCAGGCAGAAGGTGCAATGTGTGGGTTGGATGGGCGGTGGGAGCAGGACCAAGCGGTACCAACATGGGTGCATGGGAGCAAGGGGATCCTCAGGAAAAGCTTTTCTCCTAGGCTGCCCCGGGCTATCACATGGCTAAGATGATCATCAAGCTCATTAACGCTGTGGCGCACGTGGTGAACAACGACCCCGTGGTGGGAAGCAAGCTGAAGGTCATTTTCTTGGAGAACTACAGAGTCTCACTGGCAGAGAAAGGTAGCGCGCCCCGGGGTAGTGTCTGGGGAGAAGGCGTCTGCCCCGTGGCCGCTCCCCAGCGCAGCCCAAGGCTTCGTCATTATAACGCAGCAGGTCTGATTTCGTTCAGCACTGCTCCCAGCATTGGATTTGGGTTTGTTTGTGCAAATTTTGCTCCTCACAAGTATATACCGAGCGGCAAGGGCAGCGAATGCCTCGCTCTGAAGAGCTGGAGCTATGGATGTGCTCTGCTTTAACTTGGACCAAAAGCTGGCATTAGCATTCAGCTTCTTCTGCCTTGTTTAAAAGCAAAGCAAGGCTCCTGCGTGGGTTGTTGCCCCAGAGCCGCTTAAACGTCATCGGGAGCGTGGAGGGAGCTAAAACCTCTCGCGCTAGCTGGCGAGCCGCAGCTCCCTGGGCAGGGAGGCGGAGGCAGATCGGACGGTAGAGCTGAAACAGTAGAAACGTCTTAAAGCTGATCATGTTTCAGACCTGCAGAGAGGAGCAATCTCTTTTCGGAGACCTCCAAGCAGAGCCCAGTCTTCCCTAACATGCAATTTATTTAATTCGTGCTTCAACCAGGAGCCTCACGTTCAGATCGTACGAGTGGAGAGGCGGGAGGGAGTTGGCGGCTGCAACCCCTCCGGCTCCCCAGGGCATTGCGCAGGCCAGGACATCCCCTCGCACCTAGCTAGAGGAGTTGCAGGATGCCCGTCTAAAGAGATAAAGCTTCAAATTCACCTTTTCTGGAAGCGTTGTTTAGTGGTTCATCGCTGGGGAAGCTCACGCCTGCGTGTCCTGCTACAGCAGCGGGGTTTCCTCGGGGCTGCGTTTGGCGGAC